AGTGGTGGAGGACGTAGAGGAGGACACGACAGAGCTTTAGTCGAGCTATGGTTCGTGTTTTTGCAACAGCGAGCGGGCTAGGCGACGGTGGAGCTCGCTCGACAGCAATGGCGGGGCGCTGAGCTCGGTCGCTGCTCGTGGTGGAGGCGATGGAAATGAAAATTGAGCATGCGAACTGGTCGGGTAGGCACGTGGGAGGGTTCACGTCGTGGCTGGCCGCGCTAGGGCGTCCGCGGCGCGTGGCCGTGCGGTCAGACGGCCGGCGACGGGTGGCACCACGTGTCGGGCGTTTTCTGAAAACGGTCGGTAGTGTAGCTGTCTGAACTCCGATTCAGTTCCCAATCGAACCGACTGACAGGCAAACTTCAACGCTACATAACCCCTAATCGGCTCGGCCAAATTCTAATCCAGTTAGACTACATGATAGAGCTAAGTGAGTACTCCAAATGACTCAACATGAGCTCGAGCTAATTCACCATGGATTTCCATCTACAAGGTTCCAAAGTTGCCTTCATGAAAACTGAAAAGCAGTTCCAATACTTAGAAAATTTCTAAGTGTTGAAACAGCACTGATCTTAGGCTTGTGGGCCCTTTTTGAGCATGTTGTGCACATTTTCATGAGATGGTCATAAAATAACTTTTGTTCCTTATATAATTTGCTACAACTTTGCTTTAGGTTGCTCAGACATGCAAACATCCTAAGCTACACTTTTTAAACAGTCAAACATAGGAGCTCTAGGGGTCCAAATTGGTCAAACCATGACTTGGAAACCTAATTAGGCAAAATGATCAACATGAACCTTGTTCCTAATGACATTCTAAGTATAACTAAGTTGTTTAAGAGAATTATTAGCCACACCACACATTGGTCACACCAAAATCAAGCATCACAGGCATTGAAACAAGGAAGAACAAGTGAAGGGTTACTTTTGTTTCAAGGCCATGTTTCATATGTTTCATGATCTTGTTGCATGGTATTAACTAACCTTGTTTCACTAAGTGAGTGGCACATGTTGCACTTAAGTGTTGCACACTTTACATTTCATAAAAGAAACAACACACATGAAATATACAACATGTTGCAATGTTTCAACCTCTACTGCTTGTTGTAAGTACCGTCATGGTTTATACCTCTGTTCGTATGGCTGCATCGATCCGGTCGACCCCCACTATGACTTTAGTATAAGCTAGTTATCGACTCTTGTCTAATTCAAGTATGGCCTGTGTGATTCTGCCTTACACCCTACTGCTTGAATTAGATCAAGGTCAAATTATCGGCTCTACCTTAGAGTGGCAGTCTTTGGTAGATTCATTAAGTTACCGATATTGCTTATCGCTTTCATTGTTTATCTAATTACAGCAATATCACTCTGCCCGATCAGGATTGATCTAAATCGGCCTTATATCTTGTTTAGCCCATCGTTTGCTAACCTCAAATTGATTTAATCTACACCTTAAATGATGAGTTATGTTTTATCGGCTGTTTTATATCAATCTTGATCGTGTATAGTGTGCGGTTAAGGCGTGTTGCGTCTTGAGTAGGTTTATTGGCTAGCGAGAACCGTTCCATGGCCTGTTATCATGGCCTGTGTGATTCTACCTCATACCCCCTTGTTAGCACCGCGAAGTGGGGACCGTTATCTGGTAGATCTATTCCTAATAAGGCACGACTTTAACTATGTGCTATGCCTGAATCGGCTGTTTTAGCCGGTATCGAGCGCCGTCACGAACAGTTTGCATCACGAGACCGTTGAAGTAAAGATAGGTTGAAAGATATGTTAGCCACATGATTTTATTATTGTATTATGGCCTGCATGATTCTGCCTCATGCCCCACTGATATTAGTAATGAGTTAGGGTCGTCAAGTTTATTGTTATTTCTACGGCCTGCATAATTCTGCCTCATGCCCCACTGGTCATAGCATTAGATAAGATCTAACATGTTCATTAGATTTATCTTTATCAAACGGTTAAATGGCGCTGAATTATTTCTTTATATATAAAAAGGAGTTTGGTTACTTGTAATCATTGGCTTAGCATGGACCGATTATTGTTGATATCTTATTGCCTTTGATTCATATTTGCTCGAATAACGATGTTTATCTTGAATGACAACCGATTCTTCTTACACACCCCCATGAGCTTTAACTGATTTATTCTCATGAATATGCTGGAATCGGCTATTTAGTCGATCTTCTTTTATATCGGCTTTTATAGCTATATATTCGGGACTATCTGGCAACACCGGCAAGTTCCGCCCTTAATTACTGATGAACTTTCTCTCCTTGTCAATTGCAGGATCAAATTGACTAGCACGCCTCGAGAGAAGCGCGTAGGATCGACCATCCCTGCGCTAAAGCTAGGTGGATCTACTCCATCGAGCGGACCCTTCTGGCTTGCTGCGTGTGTCCTCGACACGGGACGAAAATTCTATGTCGACAATGGTCGAACAAGAAAGAGAGAAAACAAAGGCATCAAAAAAGAAGAACTCCAAGAAGGCAGAAACTTCAAGTAAGAATAAAAAAATAATAGCAAAATACATAAATATAATACTACTATAGATATTATATACTAACAAGAATAATAACAATGCAGGTCCAAATGGAAAGAGCAAGAAGAAAATGAGAAGAAGTACAAGCAATGCATAGTCTGAAAGAGATGGACCACAACACAACAGCAAGGCAGAAGACAAAATCAAACAACACCATCAATGGGGACATAGAACCATATTATCTACTAGATTGTAGCAATTACAGACCACAGGTCATCATATCAAGCATTTCAGTTTTAAATTCTACACCTATTACAGAAACCTCCATATGGATAATGTAATGTCTGAACATTTGTACATCCACTTAAGATGCTGTGATGATATGAGCATTAGCGCAAAAGCACAAGACCATAATGATTACATGTCTTGATTATCCTATCAAATTTATAATAGAGTCACAGAATTAGGAACTATTACAATGAAATAAATAAAACAAACAAACTAAAAAAGTTACTTATAAAACCTTACCTCAAACTGATAACTGGTGACAAGATCCTTACAACCTGTGTTCTTTGCAGAAAACACAAGATCATTAGCAAACTTAATCCTCAAATTTGGAATGTCAGATTCCTTGAATAGAGTGAATAGAGAAGTCTAAGGCGATTTCCAATACTTAAGAAATATCATGGAATAAACACCAGAATTAGAACTACAAACAAAGAAAATACTTACATTTTCAACGGATAAAAAAATCTAGAATTAAAAACAAAAAAAGATCATATAATTGTTCAACTAATTGTGACTATTATTATTCATGAACAATCAATTTACACCGATCAAACACAGAACCACACCCAAACAGGAATAGTAATAATTTATGGTACAATAATATGTAATCTACAATTAGTAATCAAGCAAAGCTTCTATCAAGATAACCTGGCACCATGAAGACATGGGTAAGACCGCTGCTGTTTTGAGAGAGAAGAGCATACTAGTATGCATATGGGCACAGAAGAATAATACAGAGGCAACATAGCAAGCCAGGCAGGGGCATGTCATGGTCTCAATTTCGATGCATGAATGAAGAGGTCAACATTCAATCCTTCACCTGGCCTTTGGGCTTTCAAGTTTGACCAACAGGTGGGCAACTAGCTATAAAAAAGCCTGAACATAGCTCCCTAAACACAACAGCATAGCCTACAATATCAGAGACGGATGGTCTGGGACATGGAGCAGCACTGAATTCACTAGCACATAGTAAACTGAGCAGCAAACAGATGTCAAATCGGATGCACACAAAAAATCGAGTGACCAAAACCCGTAAAACACCTGACAACTATCTAGATTTACCGAAAATCTAAGAGATAACAATACAGTTAAGAAAAAAAATATAAAAACAAACATATAAAAAAAACTAAAATGACACAATGAACAGGAACATAACTTACAGATTATTAGCAGCCTGCTTGGGAACAAATGGATAAGACACCTTGTAACCATGGAAACCCATATCAATCAAACCAAATTTCTTTCACCAAAACTTGAAATTTGGAATCTACAAGCAGTTCAAAATAAATAAAAATATATTTAAAAGGAAATAACATATAAAATAAAAGAAAATAATTGAAAATAGAAGCAAAAGCCCTACCAATTTGTTACCAATTTTAGCTTGGTATTCATCTTGTAAGCCATAGTATGAATCCAAGAAAACAAATGTGTGGTCGTTTATGTCAACCACAAGGCAAACCAGTGCTCATCATAGAGACAAGGGAAGAACAACTAACAGAAAAAAGAAAAGTTAGATAAAAATATAGATATAAAAATTATGAACAAAAAATTAAAGAATGAAATAGTCAATACCAAATTAGAACTATAAAGAGGCCTTAACTTGGAAGTTTTGGTAAAAGCTCTGTTCAAGATATCTTCACTTGCAGTATATGTATCCTTTAGAAGCTGATCCTACATATATAAAAGGGTAAGAAAAAAATTAAACATAAATAAAAATAAACAGAAAGAAAAAAAGGAGATGCTAGAAAAGAAGTGGTGGCATTTAGAAACATCAAGATGACCAAATGGGTGAGAGTACAAATGATAGCAAAATGCAGCAATAACAAAGTTCATAACAAAACCACCAGGCTTAAGAGATTCGCCAAGAGCCCAAAAAGTGCATCGAACTCTTCGAAATAAGATAGCATCATCACTGTAATAAAAGTATAAACAAAATAAAGTATAAACAGATAAAAAAACACCAGAAATGAAATATAAGAATACAAAAACAAAACAAAAAAAATAAAAACATGCCCACTATACTATCACATGGCCAAATTACATATAGCCTTGTAATTCATAATCTGAGACTTGCTAACTTTGAATTTTCCCCTTTCCTTCTCAAATTCATCACCCATATACTGACTTGGCTTAACAGTCCTCCTAGGGCCATGAAGAGGAACCTTACCACCAGTAGAAGATTTCAAAATTTTGAAATCAGATTTACTTGAAGATTGAGCAAATTAATTGGGAATCAAAGATGAATGGCCACCAATCTTCAAAACAGATTTAGGAGGAGTATGCACACTAGAACTTGAATTCTGTAATTTCGAATTATACAAAAATTTTGATTTCTTTCCCATTGAACTGAGCTTCTGAGATGGAGATCTTGAACCAACAATAGTAACTTTAGGAGAGGACACCTACCAAAAAAAAGAAAGAGGAAAAAGCAAATAAAAATAATATCAACAGAACAAAAAATAAGTAAAAGAAACCAATAAGTAAATAATTACATTAACAGGAGCAGCAACAGAAGAACCAGTCTTAGATGAAGATTTCAGCTGAGAAATAGGAGGCAACTTCTTTGACAGCTTAGGAGTTATATTAGGAGACTCATCATCAAAAAAAGGAAGAGTCTGCATAACAATTGAAGCCTAGAAATACAAAAAAATAAACAAATACAACAAAAAAATATAATAAGATTAAATGCAAAAAATATAAACAACAACAAAAGAAAATAATACATAAATTAACTTACTGTACTAAAATGATTTGGAGAATTCAATCCACCAATTAAAACATCAGAATCATGATCTTTAGCAACAGGAATTACATCATCAACAACATGTGCAGGCACAAACTGAGAAGAAGATTTCCCAACAAGATGACCTCGACGAACACTTTTATGAAAAAGATCATATGGCTGAGAAAGATCATTCGGAGGAACAGCTAAACCAAATGTAACTTGCTTCTTGGAAGATGAAGGAACACCTAATAATTTTTTTAAAAATAATAAATTAAAAACAAAAAAATATTACTAATGAAACACAAATACAAAGGAAAAAATATAAATAACTCACACTTAGAAGATGAACCCGGAACAACACCCATGACACCCTAACATCCAAATTGAGTACCAACTAGAGGAGCAACTAATATGAACACATGAAATAAAACAACAAATTCAAACACATCATTACTCAAACAAAACAATAGGCAATGGATAGGCACAAAAGATAACTCACCGAGATCCTTAGCCAAAGAAGAAGCTCTTTCAACTTTCTCAACATTAACCTATAGTTCACATGAATAAAAATTACAAATAACAAAACAATGTATAAATAAAAAAGCATAAAAACAAACTGAAGTAATACCTGAGAATCATGAGGTTGATGAAAACCATTTTCATTTCCTAATGCAGCAGCCATCTCAGGAGAAGCAATATGAGGATCAGAAGAACTTTCATAATCAGTAAACTCCTTCAAAACCTTAATAACTAATTCTAGTGACTTTTGCTTAAATGAATATACTTGAGTCATCAATTTGGAGAATATGGTCTTTAAATCATCAGGAAGAGCACCAAGAGAGACCAAATCAATAGGAATACAAGGAAGACAACCCTTGCAATGTTCTTCAATGACATTCAACAAACTAGCCTTCAAACTGTCAGGCACATCACAACCACAAGCTGCTTCAAGCTTAGAGAAGAACTCAGCAACATCAGAAGCCTCAGAAACTAATTCTTGCTAAGAAGTCAAAGCCTATCAAACAAGAAAAAAATATTAAAACATAAAAACATATAAACAAAAACAATATGACCAAACAAAAAATACCTTGTGATAGCATGTCTTCTCAAAATCAAGAAGAGGCCTCATACCATAACCAAACGGAGATTTTATATCAAGATCAGAAAAATCTCTGATCATATTTTGCTTCCAAACTCCAATTCGAGGAAAGGTATCAGATACACGACGATGAGAGAAGTCAACATGATCCAAATACATAGGCTTTCAAAAAAACAAAAAAGTAAAAAATTAGAATAAACTAAAGAATTCAAACACAATGATACAAAACTGAGAATTAAAAAAATAAAAACAGTGCACATAGACTAGAGATAACTTACAGCAAGATAGAACATACATCCACCAAGAGTACCAAAACTTTTCTGACCATCTTTCTTTCCTTTTGTTGAAACTCTTAATACCATCAAGCAACCAACGCAAAACAAACCCTGACCAGTCAAAAGAACTGATATGCTCAAGGTCTTCAAACACACGAAGGTAGCGAGGGCTCAAAACCAAATTAGAGTTTGGACAAAGGAAACAATGTAGAGCCACAACCAAAAAACAGATCAGCACTACTTCATCAGTAAGATGATCGGCTGCCAACTTTTCAGCAAAGAAAGAAACTTGAGGCAAAGAAGTCTTATCAATCTTAGATAGAACAATAGCTCTGCCAGTAGCATAATTGGAAGGAAAAGGAGTACCACCAATAGGAATACCAAGAACAAGATTCACAGATTTGGCAGTCAACGATATAACCTTCCTATGAATAGTAAGATCTCCAAACTTTGACTCAACAAGAGACACCATCCACTTAGAAAACTTCTTAGGCACAAAACACTTGTCAAAAAGCAGTAGAGAGCCAAATCCATATCTCTTGATAACATCCTTCTTAGCTTTAGACAATAAACTAATGACCATAGCAAATTTACTAACAGAGTGCCTAGTAAACCCATCAGACGAAGCATTTGAAGATTTCTGCTTCTTGGACTATATTAACAAAGAAAAGAAAAATAAAATAAAATATACAGTACTAAAAATAGAAAAGAAGATAAATAAATAAATACCTAAGCTAGCAAAGCCACAAACAATTTACGCTTTAAGGCCCTGATTCTTTCATACTAAAATAAGGACAAAAAATATAAAGTAAAAATAAAGATTTATATGAAGGGCGTTTAAACTCAAAAAAATATAAAAAACACTAATAGCTAATTAAATCTAAAAGGCCAATTCAAACAAATCTTCAAAAGAGATAGCAACTCTCACTGCACTAAAACAAAATACAGATTGCACTACCACAAACTGATAGCTTCATTGAAAAAATATAAGGAAAGAAAAGAAATAAAAACATCTTCACTAATCAATGACATATTAAGTGTAACAGATTAAACAGTAATATAAGAAAAGCACAGAGAATGACAAAAGCAAAAAGCGCTAAAATTCTAAAGGTGGTCAGATATTTGATTTCCTGAGATAATTAATCAATAACAAGAAAAATAATGACCATCCACAAACAGGGAGTGGCACAGCATTGACAGATCAAGACTGACATCAGGAAACTCTGATTCCAGACTATAGCGGCATAAGATTAGCAACAATCAATAAAAAAAAGGTCAGCAGAAATGCAGAATAAGACCTAAAATAGAGGGAGTGAAGCTTTGTATCACAGTCATATGGATCTCAAGATCAGATGCAGCCACCAGCACAACACAGATCTTGCAGAAATAAAAATGAGGAATAATACACACCTACAAAACCAAGCAACTAGTCACATACAAGTCTCACTTTTGGAATTAAAAAAATAAGTGAAACTGAATAGAGAAAGAAACAGACATGATGGACAGATGGTACACAGAAACATACATCTTGCAAACACTACTCATACAAAGTTTTATTGAACCTCTGAATAGCTGAATCATCAGATGAAGAATCCTAAAAATGACCAAAAACAAACATTATAACTAAAATATGTAAAACAATAAAATAAAACTGAACAAATTAAAAAAAACTTACCTCAGATAACATCTCAACATCAGAACTTGATTTATCACCAAAAGAATCATCATTAACATATTGAGAATACATCACATCATCACTCTGACTATCTTCTAAATCAACAAAATCAGCTTCAGAAGAAAAACCAGCAACTCGATGCTTTTTTTGACCTCTAGTATCCATCTACAAACAAAAAAATAATCAAGCATAACAAAGGATCAAAATAAGAAGTAAAACTAACACAAAAGGATAGTCATTGCAAAAATACTACAAGCTAGTACGTAAAGGACAACTATTAACAGAGATTAGTAATGAATTTAAACATGATTGCTTGACAAGTGACTCACAAAAGGCGAAATAAAACAAAAAAAACAAACTACAACTCTGAATAAGATGTAATCAACTAAACCTGAACTTAAAATGGAAACAAATTCTATAAACATGAACCTGAAATAAACATAAAAGCTAAAGACAATAAATGAAAAAAAAATGAAATCAAAGCTAATATAACAAAAGAAATTTCGTAAACTAAAACTCTGAATATTAACTAAACTAACAGCTAAAAACACTGAACCCTGATAAAAAATTGAACTAGAACTCAACTAAACTTAACCTGAACATCAATTCAACTAAAACTAAAAATATATTAGACTAAAAATATTCTATTATTCTAAACTTGAACTAAAAATAGGATGTACTCAAGTTAAACTAAACTTAAAATTGAAATAAATTCTAACAAATAATTGAATTTAATTTTTCTCGAATTTATCCTAGTCATATCGTTGAAAAATTTGTAACATTCTACTTTAAGCTGAATTTATCCTGGTCATATCCTAAGATTAAGAAATCTGAAACTTAAACTGAACTAGAAAGGAAAACTAAACTGAACTAAGATGATGATTCTGAAACTTAAATGAGACTAAAAATGAAATGACACAATAAAAGTAAACCTAAAATCAAAACTCAAATATGACCGAATGATGACTAACAGTGAAACAAAACTAAAATGAAATGGAACTGAAACTAAAATGAACAGACACCTGAAGTAAGAGGATCATTCTAAATCTAAACAACAAATACATGAATCTAACCTAAAGTAAAACAAAGGGATAGTCATTACAAATATACTATAAAAAATTACATGAGGGAGAACTATTCATACAGATCAGAAATGATTTTAAACATGAATGCTTGACAGGTCACACACAAATGAAGAAATAAAAGAAAAAAATCATACTGAAACTCTGAATAAGATGTAATCAACTTAACCTGAACTTAAAATGGAGATAAATTCTAATAAACAGAAACTGAATTAAACATATAAGCTAACCACAATAAATGAAAAAATTGAAAATGAAAGAAAACCTGATATAACAATATACATTTACAAAACTAAAACTCTAAATAATAACTACACTAACAGCTAAAACACCGAAGCATGATACAGTTTGAACTTAAACTGAATAAACTTAACTTCAACTTCAATTAAACTATAATTAAAAATAGATTCTACTAAACAAAACTGAATGTTAACTTCAACGAAAAAGAGATTCTATTAAACTAAACTATAACTGAAAATAGGTTGAACTCAACTTAACCAACACTTAAAATCAAAATAAATTATACAAAACTGACAATGATGTAAACCTCATACTGAAACTACTACTTAAATTGAACCTAGAGCATCAAACAACATGATATAGATCAAGCAAACCATAACAACACATTCATCACAAAAAAATGCATCACACTTACAAGAACAAACAGGGGTGCACAACAAAAAAACATAGAAAAGGATAGAGAAACTTATACCTTATACCAGACGCCGATCCAATCTCCAGATCAACACGGTGACTGAAAAACAAGACAACGCAGCTCCAAAACGACCAAGAAAACAACAAACATATACATAAATTTGATCAGAATGAAACATACACAGATACAATCAACATCCGCTACAAAAATAAGAAAACTATTAACATAAATGAACGAACCCTAGCACCGTGGATTATCCAAGCTCCAGGTCAGCAGCAAACCTCAACACGAACAGATCAGAGACCGCCATAGAAAAGGGGAACAACAACATCCGACCAAGTCAAAGAAAATAAAACAACACAGGAGATTCAGAATACATCCATACAACTCAAATAGGTCAGATCCATGGAAGTAAATGAGAAATTGAGGAAGAAATCAAGAACCCTAGTGCGGAATCCCCCGATACGCCTCGCGTCGCATCCAAACGCCTCTTTGAACAACACTGAAAGACAAGAAAACACAACACAGAAGATTCAGAATACATACAAACAACTAAAATAACTCAGATCCATGGAACAAAAGGGGAAAACGAAGAGGAAATCACAAACCCTAGCCCATCGCCTCGAATCACCTCGCGTCACCCGCGTCACCTCTGGGAGCTCCACTCACAGACGAGGAACTCGAAACACATGTGGAAATGAAGCGGCGGACGCCAGAACTCCATTTCCAAACCAGTAAAGGAGGCGCCAACAAGACGGACCCACATGTAAGAGACATATCAAAGCAAAAGAAGAGCAGACGGTGCAGATGAGAGACAGAGAGATCGGACATCTACCAGAATCGAGTGACACAGCCAAATAAAATGCCCGAGTGAGAAATAGATTTTCTATAGGAAAGTGCAGGGCATGGTCGTGTTAATGTCCAAGCTAGCATCCCGCGTTGATGACCTTGTTAATTTGGTTCAACGGGGAGCATGTATAAGGCACTTATACTCATCTAAATTTTCATAATTCTAAACCAAGAAAAACCCAGAGCAGAAATCATTTGTTTTCTTTTTGAAAAAGAAACCATAGCATCATCAATCGTGCTTGATAAGAGTAAAGCTGAGGATATGCTTTTTTTCTTTATAAGGAAGGTGGGGATATGTTGAGGTAGATGTAGATTTCTAAAGTACCCTTTAGGTTTTGAAATAAACATATATGTAGAATAGAGTGTAATTGGTTGTGTACAGAATTCCATGTCTAGATTCTCTTAGTGCAATTTGGTCATATTTTGTTATTAGAACAAATCCATATGTAGATTAGCACTTTCCTCAAAGTAGGCCTAGGTTGCATCTCACTATTCGATTGTATCTAGGTAGAAGCGAGAGATAAATGATTGTTGTGAGCAAGTAGACAATTTTGAGATTAAAACCAGCACATAAATCATAACAATCTCAGATACTAACATGTGAAGCCCTAACATAGTGGTTAGATTGAAGAGTATGAATAGCGACACGATGAACAACAGCGTGATGAAAATGGTAGTCATACAACAATAACAAATTGGATTGCATTGTGTGTACCTTTCACCTAGAACACTCTCCATAAATGGTTGGATGCTCCAATAGACAACCCCTAGCCATCTAGGATTTAAAGAAATCAAGAACAACAAACTCAAAGCCGCACCTTCAAGGAGTCTGAATGCTAATGCCCACCAATATGGTAATGAACTCCTTGGACTCAAATCTCTCGACACATCGACACAAACTTTTCCTCTCCAACCACAACTCAAATCTCACGAGTGTCAATCTTCTAGAGTAGTGGAGAAGTAAATGCTTGGCCTTTTTTCAAAGTGGGTGAAGAGAGCAATGAGGGACGTGGTAAGGGGTATTATACGTACTCTACACCCCAAGAACTAGATGTGACATCCTATCCTCCGGTCAAAAGTGTACATGATAGCTTCTATAGAATCAGACCTCTACTCCAAACTGAATGATCTGAAAGGAACTTTCCATCGAATATCCAAGATCTGACACGCTCACCGAAATGATTTTTAGGAGGATTCTTTTATGCGAAAAATTCAGCTTTAAAAAGCCAGGAAATGAATTAGTGTCTCATAATGTTTTTTTCATTAGTGATCCTCTGAGCATGGACACACCTGCATATTTGAGCATTTCTTGAATTATAGTACGACATTCCATAAACTCAGTTTTAAATAGAATAATAATTTAAATCCTTTGATTCTTCTTCCCACTTAATAAAATTGGGGTGGACAATCATCGAAGGACTTATTTCATAATCTTATATATGTAATTAATCCACTGGAGAATGACATTAGCAATTTTTGTTCACTGGTGTTAGAGCCGGGTTGGATGCACACTGATGGTCGTTCAAAGTGGTCCTGTTTGGATTGAAAGGAGTTTCGGCACTAAACTTTAGACCAGTTTAGCTCTTGAGGCTCTAAACAAGTGGTTAAAGTGTTGTCTAAAGTTTATTCAACCTCACAAAAAATCATTAGTTCATCATTAGACCACAAGTAAGCTAAAGTGCTATAAAATTCAACTTTTAACCTTAGCCAACTAAGCTTTAAACCATATGCAATCCAAACTGAGGTTAAATTACTGTTCTTCATTAGTAAAGACCACTGGTGTAGTAGAGAATTAGAGATGATCCAATAACCATGCAATCCAGCGCTGTCGAGGGCAAACTTCCGGGCCGTGCGTGAGCTCCTCCACCTTCACGGTCTACGATGATCCATAGGCTGGTTCTCGTGCAAATCCACTAGTCTTCATGGCTGTGGCCTGCTGCAATTGTTAGGATAATCATGACTTGGAGTGTGTTTCAAGTCAGTTGGTTAGTTAGCGTGTGTGTGCTTGCATGTCGTTCATCAAGTGCATGCGTGTGTAGGCTGATCGAGTCTAGAGGCCAAGTTATTGGCGGTTAAGCGCATGCAGGAGCATGCCACACGAGAGAAGGATGGAGACCCATTCATGCAAAGGAGTATGTGGCTCACGAACGCATGAAACCAGGTCGTCTAGGCTGCCATGTGTACGTGCGCATGAAGCTCGCAAGGTGGGTGCATGGGTGCTACGTTGCCGTGGGTATAAACTGGCCACGTAGGCTCGTGTTTTAGAGTGAGCCAAGTCATGTGTTTGAATAATAGAAGCCAAGATACAGGCATTCGTCACTGCGGCGTTCGTCATCGGCAAGTCCGTGTCTATTGTTCATGTTCTTGTGATCATTCATCGATCTTCTGTTCTAACAATTGGTATCAGGAACCTAGGTTAGGGAATGGAGAGCAAGTTGAAGATGTCGACTTTGAAGGTCAGACACTCAAGCTCCAACAGCCCCGACAATGGCGCACCACGTACGGTCTTGGTGGAGCACATCATCGGCGACATGGTAGAGGTCCCAAAGCCTTGTCGTGGGATTCGTTCATGCTAGTGGCGGTCGACACGAGGTGGCGATCAACGGTGGTGGCGTTCTAAGGCACCGGACTGTGTGTCGGTCCACGAGTGTGTGCCTATGCCGGCATGAGGCCCCATGGCAATGGTCTATTCATCGGTCCCTACCTTGGTATGACTATGGCATGCTAGTGGTGGAGGCGTTCGCCAGCGGCTATGAGGCAATTGAAAGAATCTAGGCCCCTAGTGGGTTTCGGTGATTAATGACGACATAAGATTATTGTGACTAACGTGTGTTTTGCGGAGGCAATTTAAGTTAGGTCATGATAATGGAGATTGTTTGGGCAATCATTGGTTTTCATGCCCCTATTGATGGAATTCATTTTGGTTTTCAAACGATAGATGACAAGGTTAAGGATGGACTAGTTCTAAATGTCATTTGGTGTTGGAGAAACACTTAGAGTAGTTTAGGACTTTGTTTTTTGTTTGGCCATACTATTAAGGGGGTATGAACTAGTAGCTTGACCTAGGTGAATCTAATGCATTAGGTGTGGTGCACACTTGTCAAACTTAGCACTAGGTAGCTCAGGGATAGCCCAAAAGATCAAGTGGAACAAACACTGTTCACAAAAGCGTTTGAATTGGAAGTGATTAGGGGGTTTGCTTGGAACCATACCCTATCTAATAGGGTGAACTAGACCAAGTCTCAGGGTCCGGAGGACACCTAGCTCATTCAGGGAGCCCCTCAGGCGCAGGAGTGCTCAGGACCCAGGTGAGAAGGGTATCCGGACCCTAGGTCCACGGTCCAGTTTGGCTAGGACTCGGTCAGGGACATTTGGACCTAGTGCGTAGTACCGGTCCGGACCGTGTCTGAGCTAAGTCCGGTTGTACACAGTAAGGTCCAGAGAAGGCATTTTCTTTCCGAACGGGGTCCGGTTTGGGCATCCGGACCATGGCTTTGGGTCTGGACCCTCTAAAGGTCCTCTCTAACATAGTGCCTACGCTGTAGCATCTGTGAGGGTTGGACCCAAGGGAACTTGGTTTGGTTCCACCTCGGTCCAGTCCGGTTGTCGCGTAGAAAAGGGGAGTTGGCCCCAATGGTTATGTTTTTGAGTGGGGGTATTTATACTTCTACTCATATAATTCCCATCTCTTGCCCATTTGTTTAGCTGAGAAACACCTTTGGAGTGCAAGGGAGTGCAAGAGCCTAGTGGGGTGATTGAGATTTGAGAATCCAAGATTAAGGACCTCATTAGTGTATAGGGAGTAGCAAGCATGCATCCACCTTTCTAATTAGGATTGTCTTAATCAAGTGAGAGTTTGTGCTTGTTACTCTTGGTGATCGTCATCACCTAGATGGCTCGGTGGTGATTGGAAGCTTGGTGATCATCCGGCACAGCTTGTGGATGACCCAAGTCATGGTGTGAGCGGTTGTGGGCAATTCATCGCGACGAAGTGTCGAAGAATCAGCCCATAGAGAGCACTTGATCCTTGCGCGGATCAAGGGGGAGCTACACCCTTGCGCGGGTGCTCTAACGATGACTAGTGGGGAGTGGCGTCTCTCCGATACCTCAGAAAAAACATCACCGCGTTCCTCTTTCTCTCTTTACTTTGAGCATTTACATTTGAGTAATTCAATTCAATTCATGTCTTTACATTCTTAGAATTGCCATGCTAGAGTAGGATTGGAACCTAAGGTGCAAAACTTTTATGTGGTAGAACAATAGAAACACTTTTAGGCACAAGGGATAAAATAGGCTAAGTGTAGGACTTAATTATTGCATGAAATTTAGAAGTAGCCTAATTCACCCCTCTCTTGGGCATCTTGGTCATTTCAATTGGTATCGGAGCCTCGTGCTCCTTTATTTAGGCTTAACTGCCTAGAGCAAGATGTCTCACGGGGATGGACCCCCTCCCGTCTTTGAGAGAGATGATTTTCCTTATTGGAAAATTCGCATAGAGGCGTACCTAGAGGCTATAGATGTAGGAGTGTATAGAGCCACCACACAAGGCTTCCCAAAAACTAAGGACCTCGCCAACCTTGTTGATGATGAGGCTAACTACGAGAAGTGGAATGCAAAGGTTAGAAACACCCTCTTTAGAGGCCTTTGCAAGGACATATTTAACCGTGTGTGGAATTACAAAGACGCCCATGCACTATGGTCGGACATTTGTGCGCTCCATGAAGGAACCAAGAGTGAACATGAGGAACGCTATTACCTTGTGATGAAAAAGCTTAATTCATTTGAAATGCTTCCTAGTGAAAGTGCTAATGAAATGTATTCTCACTTGAATGTTCTTGTAGAGGAGGTCAATGGGCTCGGACTCACTCAAATGCA